GGAAAGAGTCTATCCAGAAATTCATGATATATCCAAAATAGCTGGATATTTTTTATTAGTCTCTTTCCTCTAATTGCATCATCTGACTGGGACACCATAGCAATGTGCTGACCTTCCAGTTAACAAGGCCATTTCAAGAGACTGCGCGTTTTGAAAAGAAAACGTGCTGTGTAAGATCCTGTTGTAGGAAATCAATTAGCTCATTTTTGCAGGCATCTTCCCAACAATCCCAGGGTTATTAATATACAGATCCTAAGCTTTTTTATATGGTTTCATCTGATGCTCAAATGGGGCAGCACAGGCCAGGCGCTCACTCTGCAATCTTCCCCTAAACATAGCAGATTTTGAAACTTCATTTCTAAACTGTTCCCATGTCATTCCCAAGCAACAAAGGGCAAATGTTCTCGTGTAGTTTTTGTGGACATTGTACAGGGAAGAGAATGGACTAGAAGATGCTCGATAGCAACAGGGAGATCCCCGAACCCTTCCCAAGTCTTGGCAGTATAAATTTGCGAGGCAGACTCACCCGTTCCTGGGTGGTAGTGATCTAAGTGTGGAGCAATGTGAGATTCTCTTTTTGAGACTGTTTCTGTCATAGGGAAACATGAAGCTCCTATATGAGCACCAGATGGTCTGAGATGATTCTTCTGCTATATCTTGCTCTATGGGAGCTAGCTGACTTCCATATTTACTACTTTTTGGTGTTCTCTGCAATGGGTACAGTGCATGTGCATGGTGAGGTCTCAGATGCAGTGCCATTTTTGTGATGATGTATAAAAGGAGTATATGAGTCAAGATGAAGGAGATAGAAATTATGAGGAAAATGAAAAAAGGGGAAAGAAGAGAAGGAATTGAGTGATGTTGGAAAACAGAGGGTCATGAGCGAAATTAGGGGCTTAAGACTTCCTGACGTTCCTCCAAGCCAGGAATCCCCCCATGGTTAAAGCTGTTGGATCTGGTTCTGTGCAGGGTAGAAGAGGCCGAAAAAGCAGAGAATTATGAAGAGGGTAAGAAGAAGGATTATTACCAGCCACCTATTCCACGGGCAAATATTCACTTTCTGCAGACGTGGGAAGAGATGCTGCAGTGCTGGGAAAAGGTGCTGAGGGTGAGTTTTACTGTGGTACGTACTTTGCAAGGTTGAGGAGCAGAAACTCCATAGCAGACTGGTGTGCAGGTTGTTTGTGCGTCACTGCCATCAAATGTCTCTCTCCCCAAGTCAGGGGCAGCTGCTGCGAGAGACAGTGAGGAGGCCTAAAGGCTTGTCTGACTGGGGAACAGATTGGGAATTGCCACACCAGGAAAAGTCCCCACAGGGGGTAACTCTGCTATGCTGTGCTGTGAAAGTCCCTTTTACTATGTAGTAGCTCACACATCAGTAAAGAGATGCAGTTATTCGAAAGGAAGCATTAATGTTTAGGAGTAGTGCCCCCCCAGGACAGGATCGATTTCTCAAGAGCTGGTCCAGACCAACCAAGTGCAGACAATCTGTAAACAAAGAAGGCCTGTTGTCTGTGTTGCAGCCTGGACAGGTGGTGGGCATTGACATGGAATGGAGGCCTTCGTTCGGCGTTGTTGGGAAGCCACGCGTCTCCCTCCTTCAAATCGCTGTGGGTGAGGAGGTGTTCCTTCTGGACTTGCCGCAGCTTCTTGAGCAAGCTGAGAGGGAGGATGAGAAGGAGAAGCTTTCCCATTTCATCCAGAGGCTCTATTTGGATCCAGCCATCACTAAACTCGGTAACTTGCTTCTCCTCTCCCTTGCTTATGTATTTACAGTAGGTCAGCCTCTTTTACTGTCTGAAATTCCTAGGCCTTGTTGGAGTTGTCAGCTTTTGTAGCCCTGGGTATTCAAAGATTGCTAGACCAGGAAGTAGGGTGAACGATGGAATGATGGAAATGTCCCCATTTCAGGCCAGATCCAAGGTTTCTGAGTTAGCCCAACCTCCTCAGACTTGGGATTGCCTTGGGGTAGCTCTATACCAAGCCCTGGCTTGCACCCAACCTTGAGCGGACTATGCCAGTTTGCCGTCCAGAGCTTTCTAAATTTGTTTGCCCTGTCCTGAAGCCACTGTGCTGGACAGAGGTCTACAGTTTAGCATGCCTGGGTTTAGATTCTGTCCAGAGGTTTTTAAGGGGGGTGTTAAACCTTGACTTCAAGGATATATTCATAATTATCCGGTGCAAGTTGCTGGAAGCTGAAAACTTCTCATGGAGCTGCTCTGTTAGCCTTTCACTGGTCCAGCAGATTTTAACTCAGTTGAGAAGTGCAACTTTAGAAGCTATGCAAGAATATGCAGCAAGCCTTTTTCATCCACCTTTACTCTCTCAATCTTGATCTGCAAGAGTTTGTCTTAGAAATGGGAGAGATGGGTGGCTGCCTTTTTCTCTACCTTGAACAATCTTTCCACCAAAGTTTGTACATATGTTGTGAGCATTTTACCTCCAAACTAGAGGAAGCTGCAGTGAATTAGCCATGATTTGAGCTTTTCTAGCTGTTTGATTTGGGGGTTGTTTCTCCAGGTTATGGGATGTCTGGAGACCTTAACAGCCTTGCAGCCACATGCTCTGCTTTGAAAGACATGGATAAGCAATCTCAAGGTGTAGTGGACCTACTCACAGTAGACAAACAAGTAAGGATGGACTTTTGAAGATATTGAAAATAATTTCTCTTGCCTTTGGTAGATAACTGTCATTGTTTCAAAACACTTGTCTTTTTGTATCCTATATTGGCAGGGAAATGGCTAAAGGAGTTAGTTAGTAGACCTCTTCCACTGGTTTCAAGGATAGTGTGATTCTTTAAGGAAAAACAGAAGCATTTTGTTTTTGTCAGCTAAAAAGTCAGAGCTTGATATTCTAATAACTTTTTCATAGCCTATATAAAAGCTATGAAGAAGTGATTGAAATGGAGACAGGGCTCTGTTCAGCTAGATTTGTAGAGAACTCGCAGTGTTTCAGGAGAGCTGTAGGTGGATGCAGTACAGGAATTTCTGTAGCCGTCTCTGGGTTAGAACACAATAATTCTTAGCTGTCTGCAGAAATGATAAGGAGAAACATTTCAACAGGTAAAATTTGCAGAGTGTGTTTAAGGCTGTGGGTTGGGATGAACCCAGACTTTCGGGACTGATAGCTTAACCTGGGAAGTGCTGTGGAGTCTGAAGTACTTACCAGTATCCACGGTCTTGATTTTATCTGAGGTGTAGAAACTTCAGGAAAGCCATTGCCTCCTGTGTTGCAGGAGCCCCTATTCTCTCTGGAATCGTGAGGGAAAAGATGCTGAACTGTTGCTGCTGTTATTTTTTTGAGGTTGTCTCTGACAGCCTGCGGTGTGACTGAGCGCCCTGCAAATCCGAGAAGTCACAGTCACAGCCCCATTGCTCTGATGCAATGCTGTCAGACAACACAGTTGTTCTCCTTCCCTGGTTATGAAACAGATTTCCTTCCAGCAAGGGTGTTTGTTGAACAAATAACCAGACTCTGTGTATATATCTAATGCCATCGCAGCCCTTGTCTGAGACAACGGAATACAACGTGCCATGCAAGAGAGAAAGATGATAGGGTTGCTGCATGGCTCCACTTACTGAAATAGAAGGTGTTGCAGAAGTTGTTTTATAACCATGTGTTTTGCGTCTTTCTCCTTTCATTAGCTGCAGAAGAGCTCCATTGACTGGAAGAAGAGTGGCCGGAAGGTCAATGTACTGTCCCCAGAGCCGAGCTGTGAGGACAGAGCATTCAGGCAGCCGGAAAGAGGGCTGAGCCTGTTGGTGCAACATGTACTGGGGAAACCTCTAGATAAAACGGAGCAGCTGTCTAACTGGGAGAAACGGCCTCTCCGGGAGGAACAGATCCTCTATGCAGGTGTGGTCACTAACTCCGTGGCAAGGTGCTCCAGAGAGTCCGTTACAGACCCTGTTTATCTGCTGTCTGTCACCGGAAAAATCGTTAAATAGCAAACAGAGAAAATGGCTTTGCAGATTAGTTCCTGTTCAGAGAAGCCAGCACATGTTTCATTTGTCCTTTTGCGGACGGGACGTTAATGGTTGAAGTTTAAACTGTCCAGTGATTCATTATTTCCCTTATGAAAGAATTCCTGTGCTTGGCTGATTCTATCTGATGAAACATCATCTCGGTGGAAATTCCTCTCTATAACTGAAAAGGAAGAAAGTCCACTTCCTTCTGCCTCATTTCGCCACACGGCCTTTCTCGGAAACAAGTATTGTGTTCATTTGCCATAGCGAAGTGCTTGTTAGAGGAGGGTTAAAAGAGGGTAGACGTGGTGTCAGAGACTGTAGTACGGTCTCAGCACTGTGGAAAGAACAGTGGAGTTTAGTGTTGATTACCCCAGAGTCAGAAGTCTGGGTCTAAATATTTTCCTGAGGCATCAAAGGACAGTCTACTGAAGCGAACCAACCCTTTGTTAAATTCAGCTATCCTTGAAGTTGACACAGTTCCCACAGAAGTTAATCACCAGGACTTGTAAAACTGGCTTGGAGACTTAGAAAGTTCCCGTTGCAAGGAACAGAGGCCACATGTCAGTGTGTGTGGGCAAGCGATTGCAAACAACTCAGTTATTACTTTTTAAGATACCACATCTAATAGGGAAGTTACCTTCCCATAACTGCGATGCGGTAATAAACCGTGCGTGCAAGCTGCTGCTCTGTAACAATGGAGAGTAAAATGGATTGGCTAAAGCTACCCTACGTGGCGGTTTAAACAGGCCCACTTTAATTTGCATTACATTAGGGCTCAGAGACGGCATCTCAGCAGAGGGCCTGTCACTTTTTCAGCTCCTCTGCCTTGACTCTTTGTGTTCATGTGTTTCTACCCGGCAAGGAAAAAATCTCAATGTGAATGGCAGCCCCTTTATGCGAGGCTGAATTTGATTCTCTGCCTTAATTACCTGAAGGCAAAACGGTATTGTGTATTGCTCTGAATTGGTCAAGTGATTGTGCCAAGGCCTGTTAGATTATGATACTGAATAAGTAAAAGAGTACAGAGTAAGTTGCATCTTCACAGGATGTTTGCTTTCAGTAGCATTTACAAGGGTGAAGGCTCTTCCTTGCATCAAAAAAGTCTTTGTTTTACTTTTGGATGAAACCACCTGATGCTCATGTTCTGTTCTTTTAGCTTCGGATGCGTACTGCTTATTGGAGGTCTATGAGAAGCTGTGCAAGGATCCAGCAAGCTTTGGTCTAAGTTCAAACCTGACTGAGAGTCTGATGGGAAAACCAAGCATAAAACCCAGGGCAAAGAAGCAGCTGAATAAACAAGAAGTATCATCATCTTCTGGACAGGTTTGTAAACATCTTCAAAGAGCTGCGTGTTGCTTGAGAGCCCTTCAAACCACATGTTACCTTGTCTCTCAGTTGTACTATTAGCTGTGCCTGATATGCCTGTTTGTAGTCCATTCTCAGGACTATTGCAGCAAACATCTTCCTCACTCCTCCCTTTTACTGGTAAGATAAAGCTTTCCCCTTTGGGTGCCTCAGTTCAGCTTTCCCTGCAATATTAGGTTCATTTGTCGTAAATAATAATAATATGATATTAGGTTCATTTGTCACACACATCTATGTGGCAGAATCCAGTTAACCTTACTGGCAGGGGCACCACTTCCACGTTTCCTCATTGTTGTGTGTTTGAACTCTGTGGCCTAGGTGTTGCATTAATTAGGTTTCAAAACTCTGACTTCTCTACTTTTGCTTTAAACTGAGCTTCCACACACTAGTTTCAGGTTGGGAATGCCCCCTTTATTGCAGTGGGAGTAAAAGTCTGCAAAAGTAAAAAGAGCCCTTTTCCTGATGGTTTGTCTCTGTCTCCCTGCCTACCACCAGGTACTCCATGACTGGCATTGCCCTGCAACATGTATTGTGGCAGAGCCTTAAAACCCAGCTGGTGGTAGCTTGGGGTTATGTGACTCTGCTTATAGATCTTGCAATGTGACTGGTCCCTCTCTCTTAGTAATAAAGTAGGTACGTGTTTTACTTTCAAAATGCAACCATCTGGTTGTTTATGGACCTATGAAATTATTAGTGGAAAACTGATTTTGTTGATTAATGGACAAGGCTTACTATGGCTGTTTATCCTTCAAAGTAGTCCCAAATGTGTTTTTAGCTCCTGATGTCAGTAGTACCTTCCATGGTTGGAGTGAGATGCTATTGATGATACCTACCTTTTCAGAATCCTCCTATCAAGTCAGTGTAAATGTGTGATATTCTGTTAGTCTTAGTGAAACACACAGCTGCTCAGTAGTTTCCCAAGCGCACCATGTGCATGGAAATGTTGTATGTCACAACACATTTGACTGGCTGCTACAGAGATGGGAAAAGTAAGTACTTCAGGCTTGAATTACCTTGTGAACTCATAGGTCATCTTTGTATACTGTACAGTCAAATTCATTAGCCGAGAGGTAGTTAGTAAAACCTGGACTGGGACACAGAAAAGCAGAGTTCTCTGCCTGATTCGACTTCATGCACGACTCCAAGCTCTCTTTC